TGTTGTTTGTGGAGTGGGGGAAACCGGAGCACCCTGAAACTCTCAGACTGAAGAAGTCTCTTGGAAGAGACGAAACGTTTCATTAGAGAAGAACCCGTCCAGAAGACCTATACAATTTTTTTCTTTATGATGTTTAGTAATTTTTATTTTATTTCACCATTATTTAACCAGAAAACTCCAGTTGAGATCTCAGATCTCTTTTTCAAGGGAGGCCTGGGTCTGAAGGCAACCTATTGTATATGTTGTTTGTGGAGTGGGGGAAACCGGAGCACCCAGAGAAAACCCACATAAGCACGAGGAGACCCATGTAAACTCCATAGAGAAAGACCCCAGGTCCAAAATTAGCTCTGSAGCTAACATCATAGATATTAGCACGGGAGCTGCTACATATACAACATCTCCACAGTGCTTTCTACAGGCCGTCAAGCACCTCTCTGTGGTTATATTTGGCTGGTTTTACAGTTGTACCCGACACAGAGCTCCTGCAGGCACCATGCTGAGTACAGGAGCTGATTCCATTGTGTCGACTGTTACTCACAGGGTTAAATAGACTAAACTGTGTCTGTGTGTTTGTACCTGAACGTCTTTCAGTCTCTGCTCCATAACAGGATACTCTGTAACAGCCGTGGACGGGATGGACAGTTTGGCTTCACACTGTTGGATCCAGGCTAACAGTGCGGATATGGTCTCTTTGTATTGAGCTGGGGGCAGACTTTCCAAAACTAGGAAYAGAAGGGAGGATAGAGGCACATTTTAATTAATGAGGTGATCTACATCTGCAAATAAAAGCAACAGCACCATCTAGAAAATGGAGAAGAAGAAAAGTGTTGACCCTAACTATAACCCGGGGCCTCAAAATGACTAATGGGCTCTCACCCAGCTGTAGCTGCCTCTCTCGTGCCCGCAGATCCTCCAGGACTTTGTGGTAGTGTTCTTTGAAGGCAGTGATGTCGGTGTCCAGGAAGGCCGAGGGATCCTCGTCCCCTTCCTTTTCCTCTTTCAGCTCGTTCAGTCGTCTCTCAAGGAGGTCCACCTGGGGCTGCAGGGAGGACAGGCGAGCTATCTCTTCCTGCCAACAGAACCAAGCAAAAGCAGTAAGTTGGTGCTACCACTCAGACTGGTTATGGTCCATGAAATAKCATCCTCTTCATCAGTCTGTCATAYAAAAACAGTATCTTCAGTCAGAGCCTTCTTCAGTTTCYCTGRAATACAGACCAGAAGATKTTTCCTGCCCACAGCCATCAGCATCTYCAATAACTCTTCAGTTAAATGAGTTACAACAACACKTAATTTCCCTCTGGGATCAATAAAGTACTTTTGAATGGAATTAAATAAATATTAAGATTTTTATCAGCAGAAAAAATAATGTAAATACTTTGGTAGTGGTATTGTCCATCACTACATCATAAACTAAAAGTAAATGCTAATCCGCTCAGCAAAATATTAGTTGCGCTATTAGAGGGTTAGCGGATGAGCAGAACTGCGCCCACCACTGTCAAAACCTAATTTAGCTAAAGCTGATTGGTTTGATAATGGTTTACAAAATTGGTTAAAAAAAGCTAATCTGCTAAACAAAAATGCAGTTTCGCTATTAGTTGATTGGCAAAACCATGGCCACCACTGAATGATCTAGAACAGGAGTGTCAAACTCAATTTCACCGAGGGCCACATGAGCATCATGGTGACCATCAACAGGCAAAGAATTCCCATGCATAATCAACATGCATTATGGGAGATGTCAATGTCCAGGCCTTGAGTTTGACATGTGATCTACAGTGTGGTGCATTGCATTAAAAATTCTTGAAGAAATACAAACAACGAACTATAGCTAACGGCATTAAAACATCCTGTACAATCATCAAATCAATTGGTGACCCTTGGGTCCAGAATAGACTCAGAAGTTTACACCACCAAGAACTTCACTTTAAACTTCGTCAGAGAATCAACAACAAAACMCACAAAAAAATAGCAGTAGGAAGAAACTGAAAACTAAATTAGCTGTTTCAGTTTCTATAAGGTCTGAAATTTTCTTATGAGAGGTTAGAGGCCTTTCAGCATCTCGAGTGTATAAAACTGTCCGAGGAAATCGCAGCATGCAAAGGTCAAAGCAAACAAACAAACTGCTGGATGTTTGAGAGCCTCAAGTCTTCAGGTGGCATCAGAAGAGAAACTGGCATAAATATAACCACATGAGGTTAGGAGCACGTCCCACTGCTGCATCCAGACTCGTAACCTTTTATCTGGATTAAGTAAGTAAAGTCGTATATCAACTCCACACTTAAATTAAACCTTTTTCAGACAGACTGACAGATAGTGAACAAGTTTCTGTGGGCAGATGAGTTCAGCAGCAGCTTTTAGGGACAATCAGCCATTGAGCTTTACGTGCCAAAGATAAAACCATCCAGGCTGTTATCAGTGAAAAGTAACAAAGCTTTAATCTGTGATGGAATAAGAGTGCAGCAGCAGGCAACAGAGTGGCTGACTTGGAAACGTGTGAAGGCAAAGTAAAGCAGGGGAAAATGGTTTGAACCCTTGCTGTTTTTGTTTTTCCACTTTAAAGTGATCTCTGACTACTGCTACATGTTGCTTTTAATATGTTGTTATTTCTCTGTTCTARTAAAGGTTGTTGTTTGTGACAAGTAAAACTTGTAATTACTTTAAAATTTGGACATATACATTTTACATTTTTGCTTTAAACATGTCACCGTTTTGTTATTGATTCAATGCATTCTGGGACTGATGATGACCTTCTAAGTGTCAGAGGGTGTGGTGGGAGTGGGGGTTTTCACAATAAATGGCTCGACACACGGGGAGCGACAAACTACAGCGATTAACGGCTGTCATCGCAGCCAGGGTGAAACCCGACACACGGGACACGATAGCGATCGCAGCGTTGCGAATCGCGCTCTCGGATCGCGCTCTCGGATCGCGTGTCTTCATGAAATTTGATTGGTTCTTGACTCTGAAGGCGG